CTTGGATACTGAAAAAAGATTTGGTAGAACACGAAGTGGTTTGCAGAGGAGGGAGAGAAGGTATGGGGTGAGCTCTGTCCATGACATGGATGCAGTATCAAACAGGACAGTCGGTAGCCGTTCTTTGCGACAGCGTCTACAAGATACTGTTGGGCTGTGTTTTCCCATGAGAACTTACAGCAAACAGTCCAAACCTCTGTTTTCTAACAAAAGAAAGATCCATCTCTCTGAACTAATGCTTGAGAAATGTCCTTTTCCTGCAGGCTCAGATCTGGCTCAGAAGTGGCATCTGATTAAACAACACACAGCGCCTGTGAGTCCTCATTCAACTTTTTTTGACACATTTGATCCTTCCTTGGTTTCCACAGAAGATGAAGAAGACAGGCTCAGAGAGAGGCGTAGACTTAGTATTGAAGAAGGGGTTGATCCCCCTCCCAATGCCCAAATACATACTTTTGAAGCTACAGCACAGGTTAATCCATTGTATAAACTGGGACCAAAGTTAGCCCCTGGTATGACTGAGCTGACCGGGGACAAAAACATAACACCTCCAGGGAACTGTGACTCTGAAGAGGACACGACAACGCTTTGTCTGCAGTCACGCAGGCAGAAGCAGCGTCAGATGTCTGGAGAGAGCCACGGCCACATCAGCAGGCAGGGGGCTTGGAAAGTGCATACTCAAATTGATTACATCCATTGCCTTGTGCCAGACTTACTTCAGATCACAGGTAACCCATGTTACTGGGGTGTGATGGACCGCTATGAAGCAGAAGCACTTCTGGAGGGTAAACCCGAAGGCACTTTTTTGCTCAGGGATTCTGCGCAAGAGGACTACCTCTTCTCTGTGAGCTTCCGTCGTTATAACCGATCGCTACATGCACGCATTGAGCAGTGGAATCACAACTTTAGTTTCGATGCCCACGATCCCTGCGTGTTTCACTCCTCCACTGTTACAGGGCTTCTGGAACACTACAAAGACCCTAGCTCTTGCATGTTCTTTGAACCGTTGCTTACTGTATCTCTGAACAGGACTTTCCCCTTTAGTCTGCAGTATATCTGCCGGGCAGTAATCTGCAGGTGCACTACATATGATGGAATTGATGACCTTCCTCTACCCTCAATGTTGCAAGACTTTCTAAAGGAGTATCACTATAAACAAAAAGTCAGGGTGCGATGGCTGGAGCGGGAACCTATAAAAACAAAGTAAATGGAAATCAGAATAAGCTTCTAGAATATGCTTTTTTGTGTGTGTTACAGTTTAACTGCGGCGAGCGCACCAACAACGTCTAGCTTTTCTGCAATATCCTATTTAAGCTGAGTGTTAGTATCCTGTCAGATGCTGCCTGCTGTTAATCAAACTAAATTGTGATGCCTCTTGGAAACAATAAGCAGACACAATTCTGCACGTTTTTCATTAAGGCCTAATGAAAATATTTTTGCTAATTTCTAAATATTTTGTTTCCCTTTTATAGCTGTAGTAATTGGATGAAGAAACTATGAGGCATTTTCCATGGGGCATTCATGTAATGCTAATAAAGAAAGGCTTTATTAGAGGAGCATTTTTGCTAATATTTGAAGTATTTTTTTAAAATTATCTTCTTAAAAGCTTTCCACTACTCAAAGTACTAGTTTAGCTCACAAACAAGTTTCCAAACACTAGTGAATAAGAGTATTTTCTTTTAACGAAGAGCAGTTCATTAGAAGCAGTCCATTAAGAGTTAATGGTGTTTTGATGCTAACAGATGAATCATGCTTTTCTCAGTGTATAAGGTTTCCTAATCATTAAGACTTGAATATGCCTGCTCAGTACTGTAATTCTATTTTAAACACTTGGAGATTTAAGTGGCATTGTTAGCAAAAGTAATACTGTCCTGGACAGTTAAATACCTTCCAGTGTGAATTACTGATTCAGTGGCAGGACACAGGATTAGATTATTGCCATGAAACAAAAGGTTGCATTTTTTTCTAAAACAGAGTTTGGTGGCCTGACTGCTGGTAACTTACAATGGAAGGTAATAGTGAAGAGAAAAAAATGTTTAATTATTTAAAGTCGTCTGATATTTTTATGGAGAAAATTACAGGTGGTTGAATTATTATAATCAGAATACAAAATCTGGCATATCTGAAATAAATGTCAGGTTTCAGAGGTACTGTTACACTTTATTTGTAAATATCTTTCCATTTGCGCTTTTAAAAATGTTTTAAAATGATATGCACTGATTATAGTTTCAACAGATTACTTGGAAACAAGGTTCTAAGTTCTGTTTGCTTATTTAATTGGAGACAGAACTTAAAATAGTTCTGTCTTGGACACTTTTGCACTAAAATTTTGTTGGAATGCCCTGACCCCCGTTTAACGTTTTGTACCAATTATGAGTGCTCCCTAGTTTCTTTACCAGCTGCTACAGTATGTTATTACTTACTTCTCTATGGCAGTGACCTGTGCGAGGTAGGGAACGTTTTGGCTGCAAGTACAATAAACGTTATTCTTGTATGCTACACTAACCCTTCTATTGATGTATTTTTCTGCTTGCTGTGCCTTGTTCTGGCTTTTTGTGCTAATAAAGTACAGTATGTTCAGTGTTATACTTGTATATCTGCTCTGTTTTTATATATTCACGTAACTTGTAGCAGTTAACTGAATTTTTAATAGGCTTTTCTTAGTACTTAGTATAGGTAATGCACAAATACTGTGCGGTTGAATATTGGTTGGTCAGCACACCATATCCCTGGGTTTTGTTACATGCTTATCAGAAACCTAACAGTGTACACCACTGAATAATGTTTCTGTAGTCACTGCAAAGTAATGGACTTGTCTGCAGGCATAGAGCATTTTACAGTTTTTGTAACGTAAAGGATAAATGTTAAGCAAAAAGTATTGAAAAACATTATTGATTCCCTGTAATGGTTGCTGAAGGTGTTTCAGCTTGTTACATAGCTAACTGCTAAGCTTAATGTTTTGATACTCCCCACTGAATAAGGAATGCTTATTCCTGTAAATTGACAGTACAGCAGTGGCATTTGTTCACTTTTAGACTATTTTAATAAATAGATGTACACGCAAACTGGCCAAATGTCCTGTTTTTACCAAAGAATACTGTCAATTTATGTTGGGGTATTTTTTTAGTGAAAAACTTGAGTGGAGAGGTGCAATTTCTGTTCTATCAAATATTTATCCCAAGCTATGACAAACCAAAGTATTTGACAACTTCATCTGAACTTAAGTAATGTATACATTTATGTTGGTAGAGCTTAAAACTTTTACATCAACGGTGTTGTCATTTTTCTTGAACTTACGATGCACCTGAAGGGGAATGACTTAAATAATTTTGTAACGACTGGAACAGCACTACACAGAAGCTCATACTGCAAGGGGTTAATCTGAAGCACCCAGAAAGCACTTTAAAACATGTGTTTATATGCTTGTGGAAAATTTGTGATCCTGTTATGCATTCTTTGTAGTAGCTTACCTTCTTTCATGTGTTTAAAAGACTTCAACTGTTAAAATGGAACTTTGTTTAGAATATGTAAATACTAAGTTTATGTAAGTATGTGTACAAGTGTGCTAATGGTCACTTAAGTTTTGAATTGTGTGTGTGTCATTGGATATGCAACTCCTGGTTTAAAATCTGCTCTAAGCATAAAAAGAGGAAAAAAAAGTCACCAGCATGAAATTGCACCCAAGTGTACCTTCACTGTGTCGTTCTCACTGTTCCCTCAGTTGGATCGGAATTCCAGATGAGTTTACTTTAAATCTTGCTTTCAATATTAGTATTGTACAGTCAGCCTGCAACCAAGCTTTGTCCCAATGTAGGGACCTGTTTTTTGTTTACACCCGTTGCAGTTGCTTGTCATAAACTAGCTGATGAGATTCTAGCTGTGACATTATCAATGTGGTCAGGAATACACATCCATTTAACTTTTTTATCATGTGGTGGAATCTTTGGAGGGAAAAAAAAATAAAAACCCCAAACCCTTATCTCAGAAAGTTTGCTCTTGCATTTGTTTAAATAGTCTTTACGGAGAGGATTTATTGCTCCCTTAAAACACACAAAAAAGGAATGATCTATTTCTCTACAACTTTTTTAATGCTTTGCTTCACTGAAATATACAGAATAACTTGCTAGTGTGGTTATGCTAAAAGTAATCACTTTTTAAATTATGGTAGACTTGAGTGTTGACTACTCAAGTTGCAGTGTATTTCTTAACGAATACATTTTCAGTTCTAAATGCACTAAAACTTTAGTATGTTGAGAATGCAAGCAGTTGAGGGCTCATTTCTGTTTGAGGAGTATGCTTTAGCCTTCTGATTTTGTTTAGAAAATTTTACACGTCTTCAAAAGATACGCACAAACCACTGATTTACTTTTTTTTTAAGAATAGGATTCAATGTAATAAGGTATGCTAGCATGATTCCAATCTAATTTGGTTACATGACAGATAAGTATTTGAGCCTCAATCTCGTAAAGTGTTCTTTCGAGGTGATTCTCATTTCTGCAGAAAGGGCTATAGAAAGGGCTTACTCAGTAGCATTATTTTGCAAAAGAATCTTACAAAGATCTTCGACCATATTTGAAAAGAACAGGGCGGTGGTGCTATGTGGGAATTAAGATCTTTGAATACTTAGCACAACTTGGTGGTTTTGTTGCGTGTAAATACACGCATCATTATATTTTAGAAAGTCAGCAACAGCTGCAGTTTACCAAGATAAGGAAATTAAAATAATTGTAATTTCTGTATAACATGTTATCTAACATTGGAAAATTACTGTGTAAATAAATGTCATTAATGCATTGATGTACAGTGCACGGAGGTTTTTTACTCTAACTGGATCATTGTTTGTAGAACAGAATTACAATTATAAAAATTAGGGCATTAAATGCAAATCTCTTTAGAAATCTATCTTTATGTGCCCATGGAATTGGAGAAAACTACTATATTTCGAATATATATGAGGGTCTACAGGTTGGGTTTTGTTATCAGTTCTAAAGGCATAACTCTTCTGAAACTGCTCTTAAGGACATGTAGACACTTGTCCAGATAATCTACTTGTTAGAATGAAACTCCTCTTAAGAAAATAAGTTGAAGTCATGTTTTGCATTTATGTACTTTAAATTTTGTGTGTATGTGAAGACTCGTTGCTTACAAAACGATAGTCTTTAAGTCAGAAGCATACAGTCTTTGAAAGACCTGTCTGTGTATCCATGGTGTTTGATAAGATGAATTCAAGCCTTTGCTAGATGTCATCCTGACAGTCACTCACATCCTTAAGTCCGTATTTAACTTCAAGGTTCTGCACTACTTAGAAGCAAGCAAAGATTCTGAATTTCTATGATACAAACCCAGTTTGCTGTAGTCTCCACGTGCAAGCCAAAATATTTGCAGAATGCTTTAAAGCTTGTCTCTGCTGCAAAGTTGCATGTAAGACTGTCAAGTCAGAAGTTGCTGAGTACCTGAGAGATGAATCTGCAGGGAGCATGTTTGTGTGTGTTTGTTTTTCCCCCAAGCTACCTTGAAATACAGTATTTAATGGAAAAATATGAATTGAATCTTCTGTGATTCTTTCTAAAATAACAATATTTGTCTCCTTTTAAAACCATTCACATCTAAAATCATGAAAGCGCTTTTTGAGTCTCATTTCCCTAAAGTGTTGTTGTGAAATGGTCATGTATGTGCCAAACCTTAGTCTGCAACAATCTACATAGCCCATATATATGTGTGTGTGTGTTAGTAAGATGCCTCCAAGCATGTGTGCATTCATGGTCTTTTTTGAAGCTACCTGAAGTGCATTAATACGGTGAGCATTAATATACTGGAATTCTAAAAATTCTCTCTCTAACTTTCTGTCTGTGCACGGCATGCATTGCAAATAAAAGGACTATTCTATTTGTATCTTCAGCTGTATTTGTACATTATAGCCAGTTGATTGGTGTGTGTTTTCCTGCTATTGCCACACTTGCCTAAACAGTTGTCTCCTGACTGTGACTGAAGGAGATTTTTTTTTGTTCATAATTGCTTTTTAAAAAAAATCTTACAATAGACAGAAATCAAATCAGTTGGCTTTTAAGGGTTAACTCTTAAAAAGCATGGTATAACACTGCTAATTGCTCTCCCTCTTTGCAGTATTGATGTACAAAGAATCATTTAGCTTGACCATGGGTTGTGTCTACCAAATGCAGTTGACTTAAAATGTCTGAATTTTAAGCTTTTTTTTTTCATTTTTAATTGAAAATGCTACTGATGAGGTCTTTGAAAAGAAAAAGGCTTGATGTTTTCACAGCAAGATACATAAAGTAAATGTTTTGTAATGAGGTAAGGATCTCTTGAAGATGCTTTTTAAGACGTTTTCCCCCCTCACTATGTCTTAAATCAAGACTCTTTAAAAGAAAAAAAAAAACCACCTCTTGATGACTTTAACCTTACAATCATTTAAAGACTGAAATCTGGTGCTTTTAATTTGCTTGCATGTTGCCATACTGATTTAAGAGTAGTCATTTCAAGAAGCAAATTTTAAATCTGTTATTTCAATGAAGCATTGCCATTTCTTATTTTTATAAAATACTCCATCTACAAAAATTGTGTATCAATAGGATGTTAACCTGATACCGTCTTTACCTCGATAACAATAGATTTAACTTGCGTATATGCTTTTCAAGCTGAGTAAATGTTCACTTTGTAAATTTGCATTAAAACTACAGCTGTTATCAGCTAGGTTTCCTAAGGCCAACACAATGTGTTTATGAGCTGAAGCTCTTGGTGCTTGACCCTTTTTTTCTGTCTTCAGTAGAAAAAAAAAAAACCCCACATAATTGTGTATGTGTGATAGAGCTAATGTTGCGAATTTCCTTGTTAAGCACACAGCTACACTGACAAGCAGAAACATATCTGAACTTGCTCGTCTGGAGTAGAGCAACCTCTCTGCTTTCTCAGCAGGAGTTGTAACTTGGTGGCACGTTGGCGAAGAGGAAGCAGAACTAGGTTTTGTTCTTCTCCGAGCAGCTGTTAAATTGAACGTGGTGTGTGCTTCCTGGGCGATAAGGTATATTAACTTTTTAGAGCCCTGAGAATTTTAATAGCTTTGGGAAGATACAAAAGTACTTGGCTGCTTTGTCACTTCTTGCTTTCGTACTTGTAGTTTTGCAAAAGCATGAAGAGAGATCTATTAAAATTGAATCTATGTAGTCAGCAACTGTATAAGCGCTACTTTGTAATATCTTTACGGAGATAGCAAATTCCTACACGATTATATTTAAACTGCTTTGGGAGAATGAATGATGACACTGTGGGCACAAATTAATTCATATTGCACTACAAACTTTCTTACCAGAAGCCTTCATTCTTGCAAAAAAACTATGCTATCCCTGCACAGAAAAACTGTAGCTTTGGTGATGCGTTCTTTGGTAGGTGTCCAGAAAAGCGGCACCCAGACGGTCCCTGGACCTTTTCCTGACATTCCAGTTGAAGGGGCCCTGGCAGGCCTGCCGGGCACTCGAGGAGTTGGCTGGCGAGCGTGCCGTGCCGAGCGTCGCCCGATGCCAGCACCTTGTAAACTGTGCTGGTTTAGGTCTCCCTAGCTTAGGTGGTTTTTAACCCGCTGCAGCTTAAATGTTTCTCCACCCTGCCTAATTTGTCTCTGTTAACTGGTTGCCAAACTGTCTTGCATCTTAATATAGTAAGAAATTAATGTGATTTATGGCTACCCAACCAGTGTATTAAGTAATAGATGGCTCTGTCTTAATAAATGGGGTATAAACTACCATATTGTTTTCTTTTTATATTTGTTTGGGAGCAAAAAGTTGTGGTTTTAATGAGTTTATTTTAAGTCTATACTGTAAATGCATATTTTTACAAATAGTTATTGTACATGTCAAAGGGATAAGTAGTCATTAGATCAAAATAATCAGTAATTCATATTTATTCCAGTCCATTTCTGTTGCATCTAAAATACTTGAGTGAAGAGATCCAGAGACTGGTAATTATCGTCTTTAGAAGTTTTATCACACTCTGAAATTCCAGCAAGCTCTTAATTAAACGAGTTTTCACTTAATTCTCAATGGTTTCCCCCCCCCAAGCTGTAGGCTGAATACACGTTTTTGTGACATAAACGTGTGCATTCTAGAGCACAGCCCCCATGAGCACAAACTGAGGAACAGAGGTAGCTGTCGT